GCAGAAGCGACCAAAACATTACAGTACCTAGAACGACAAGTAGCCGCTGATAAACGAGCTGAAAACACTGTAAACACCCGATACGTGGCCGACTGGTACATGGACGGCCTTTGTAATAAAACAATGGACCAACTTTTAGCTGATAAATACTTTAACGGTGCGCACATGTTGGTCGACTGGATTTGGACCCGATTGGCCGAAGAACACAAAAGGCGATCCGAAAACAAATTATTTCTTAGGGATGTAGTCAATGATGTTCTCGTCAATAGAGCTAACCATTTTAATGAAAAATGCACAGACAAAATTATATTGTAGACGGATTAATGAATAATTTACCATATGCAAATAACGAATTACTTGCTTGATAATTATTTTCAAGCATATTATAAGTTAGTTTAATAACGAACAATTCAGATTTCAATTAAACAGTGAATGACATTACTCGTTAAGAAAATTATTATTTTGTAATTCAATTATTTATTCTTAACTATAATTTTATAGATTAGTAGTTTCAAATATTTACCTAATAAAATATTAAACCTGATCAGTGGAAACGATAAAAATTCAATAATTCAGTAATAATAGTCAATTGAATTATTAAAATTAACTCGTAGGAAACTATTAATATTTAACAAACTAATTGTTTTTGGCGAGTTCATAACAGTAAAAATTTGAAAATTATGAATAATATTATCTATTTAATCCCAGCTAAATTAATTTAAAGGATCTCATTAAAATGTTGATAAATTTGAATGTTTTAAATAGACATTTTATACTATTACCTAGCCATCAACAATATCAGAAAAAGTTACATTTAGTAAAAATTGTATTGCTTTCGATAAGAAAAAAAATTACAAACTTAAATTTTACATTATTTTAAAAATTACTTAAAAAATGAATTATCAATTGTTCTATCAATTTATCTTTAAAGTTGAGTAAAATTTACGTGATATCTATAACATATAAAAATTACTTTTAAACAAAAACAATTATTGTTGTTTAGCTTACAAATAATATGTTAATATTTATCATACCAAAATAAATTCGCAATGTTTGTAAAGTGTAACCTGTTATCGAACTCGTGGGAAAAAATGGCGAATGAGCATAAGCCACTCCTTTTGCAGTTTAAGTGCGCATGTTTTCATCCTCATCAGCATCACTCAGCATCATGTACCACACCCCATTCGATCAACACACCCCTATAATGGCGCTAACGACACGCTCCCTCGAAAGTATTTTTTATCGGCGCACAACTTTCGTGTGAAACAGATGCAAGTACATCCACGTATTACACAATACAGTCGTACAACAATACACCTTTTTTTTTTTTCTATCATCTTCGCTTTGAACTCATTTTGATCGTGACTCGTGGTACGCCGCCACAGTCGTCGAGTTTGTGAACGAACTCTTCTCCTGGTGCTTTCATACGACGTGCATGGTTCACGGGCTATTGCCGTTGAAAATCCACTGTAGTTACACAGTATATACGTATACCATTTATTACATTATGTATAATAATAATAGTAACAACAATAACAATGTATAAAACGATGCAGAGTCGGATGGATGGCGGCATTCCTATCTATGTTCTATCTCTCTGGTCTGCGTCCGACGGTGATCGTTGCTGTCCGTCATTCATAATACTCTTTTTTCACGTACTCGTCTTCCTCAGCTACACTATAAGACACGGCCCCTCTCTAATACCGTTAATGTGGTGTGCGAGGCGAGACGGTTTCCATACAATATGCGTACAGACACAAGCATAAAACACAAAAATCCTTGAACATCTTATTATTATCAACGTCGTTATAGGTTATGTGTGTGTGTATTCTTGTACATTAGGTAAGACGTGAAAATACAAAAAGTTCTCAATCGTAATTTCCACGCATATTTAACGGTTCTCTAAGTCGGTGGTATCACAGTATGAACCTCAAATTAATCTATTCGTCCACATTACCCAAGTTGGCCGTCTAGGTTAAGGTGCAGACTGTCGTAGTAGGGTGGCCCTCAAAAATCGAATGTCTTTTTTTTTTTTACGCTACCCCTTAATTTTTTTTTAAAGGTCAAAAAATTGAGCTGTGCAAAATTTGGGACCGATCCGTTAAGGTTAACCCGTGCCCCCGGACCTATTAAGTTGAGTCGAAGAGTCAAATTTAATAGAAATAACTGATCTATGCTCATAACTTTTTTTTCTCTTAACTTAGAATAATAAAAGTAAAACTCAAGTAAAGGAAATTTTACAAGAAATTCAAAAATAATAACTTCAATGTTGTTTTCTCAATAAATAGCCCACAAAAACACTATATACTGTAAAAAAACATGTAAAAGTCTTAAAATACGTTATAACTGATTTTGTTGATTTTTAATTATTTATTTTCATTTTATTTTTTGGAAAACGCATTTTCGTTTAAAAAAAGATCTAGAAGTTTAATTTTTTATGCCAAATACAATAATTATATTAGATTTATTATTTTATGGACACTTAATTAATGATTGACTACTGTCGTAGTCAACACTTTTTTACTTTTCATACGTCATATTGCACAGATGACATAAACACTAAACCCTTTAGTTTATTAAGTTGGTGTAATCTATTGGAGGTGTACCTTCACGCAAGTTACTTTTTATTAATTGATTACAACACTATGTTTCATATATAATTGATGTATTCCATATTTATCGTAAATAATAAAGCCTTATGTAATTGAAAAAAAAAAATTAATTTGACTTAGATTCGATAGAGACAAGCGATAAATTACCAAAATACATACAGTGCGTGCTAACTGTCATTGATGCCATAGAGCAATCATATATTTGGTGCCCCTATTTAATATATTTTTAAACAAAATTCATCATATGCAAAAAAATTATATTCATATTTTTTTACGACCCCAAAATGGTATGTCCTCCTAAATATGTATGTACATAGATGTATAATGATATAGATTTTTTTAAATAAGACATTGGTATAAATTTGAAGTTCAAAAATCTAAAAGTTGATAATAGTTGTTTATAGGATACTTTTTTTTCACAGTATTGTACAAACCAAAGACTAAGTAATAAAAAGCCGATTGGAATTTTAGTTACGTAAATAATTGAAACATTTATTTAAATAAAGACCCCGTTCGAATTTTTGGCAAAATACGTGTTTCTTATGGTAAATACTAATAGTAATTTAAGTAATAAGTACAGTAATTTCATCAATTTTAATGCAGTTATTTGATAATAATATAAACATATTATACACGAATTATGTATTTTCCTATTAAATAATGATGAATTTTAATGATTAAAATATTTATTTAAATAAGGGCTCAATTTTAACACTTAACAGGTAACTAGAGCTTAGCTAATATAAAAAATTAGTATATCACAAATTAAACAACTCGTTTAGTTCAATAAAAAAAGATATAATGATTAATTAAAAAAACTTATCCTGAAAGAAAATTCGTGTCTCTTGAAAAAAACCAAAATTTAGAATTGGGCCCTTTTTCCAATAAGTGATTTAATAGTCAACTATAATACGTATAACAGTTTTAAATTAATAAGCGTGTCCATAAGCGTTTCAGATACTCATACGAAAACAATGATATGATTTGACATTTAAAGTTTAAGCAAGTCGCCATTGCCAAAGTTTTAACCTTCACAAAGCATTGCAAATGTTTTACACATGATGCAAACTTTACATGAATAAAAACACTAACTATTTCTCATTTTTTTAAAGGTATTATAATTTTTAACGATATTCCTATTAAAATATAGTAATCAATGCTATTTTAAAAATAGTCTATCACAAACAAATGATTTTTATTTATTTGACATAAAGAAAAACATCTTCCTCTCAAATATATCCAGAAAATATATAATACCGAATATTTCTCGGTATTGTTATCCTTAGATAATGTTCAACTTGTAGAAATTATAGTAATTATAGGTTTATGATCGTTTTCGGTGCGTGCCTAGACAGAGTTCTTGCCTTCTACATACAAAATGAAATCTGATAATAAAATAATTAAGGAAGCTAAAATGTGTAGGTATCACTTATGGCAATTATTCTTTTCATAACTCAAGTTAACTAGAAGTTATGGCGAGAGTTGTTGTAATTGAAATATATTACCAACACGCATTCTCTTATTAGAATTAAATGAAGTTGTTGATACAATATTTTTGCAGCTTGTTCTACGTAAAGTTTTCGATAACTTTGAAATCTTGGTCATTTAATCATAGGCGACAATTTGAACAAAATATTTGGGGGACCTATTTTAATTTCTCCCATACATATTTTTTTATAAAAATTTACTTGTAGTTTTCACAATTTTTCCCTCCCCAAATTGCGTTTATGTAAGTAACCATATCAATAGATTTTAGCCAACACAAAATTAATCGACATAACTTTATTCATAAATGATATTTTGCAATACCATGATAGTTAGACATCAACGGATAAGCACTAATATTGATTAATCAAGTTCTTCGTAAATCAATTCTAACTTTTTTTCTCAAATTAGCAAATCGTATTCTGAAACATTGCCATTTTATTTTCCTCCATTGTAATAAACGGGTAAATTTTTTTGATGTTTGCACAGTTTGCAATGAGGGTAAAGTTCTAGTTTCCGATCCGTAACGACCACGGTTGTCCTAGAAGGAAGTGGAGGAGGAGGTCTCGGTATAATCGGTTCTGCTTGGAGTGATTGCCGCAGGGCCGAACGCGCGCGTTTATAATTCGTTTCCTTTTTACACTTTGTTCACATTTTATTAATTTCCTCGGTTCATGATGCGGTTTTCTTATTTTGATTGTTCTTTTTTTATATGTATTAATATTATCATCACTAGTGCGGGTACAATGAACGAGTCAGTCGTTGTAAATCAAATATAAACATAAAACTACAGTAACAACAACAATCAGTCCGAAGAAACTTATTCGGATGTCGGACACTCTTACGTGTTTCAATACTAACATGATGCCATTAGGTTTTAATTAATCTACTGAAATTACTTACCTGATAAATATATGTACTGCGCGAATTTAGCAGATTTTATCTAGGGAAGACTTAATAACCACATTGAACAAAATAGTTTGACGTCATAAAATGTTTAAAACTAAAAACATTTACACAAGGGTGCAATGGATAAAGGTCGACCGTAGTCCGTCATTTTATTCGAACGAATGCGGACAATAAAACGAAATAAAGTGGCAGCCGCAGTATGTTGTAATATTTTCTACTGTCTATTGCTACAAAACGATAGTTTTACTGTTGTACCCTCTCAAATGTATACTTATATAAATGCACTAATGGGTATATAAACATAGGGAACCGAGGGATGGAAGGGATCGATACAGTAGAGCTTTTACGTTATTGGCGGCCCAAACGGTCCAATGGCGACGTCGCGGTTGCCCATGGCGCTTGGTCGATCAATACACAAAAGCTCAGTCGGCCTTGCCGCCTAAAAAATGACAGTAATTACCATTGTTACTAATATTGTACATGCCCGAGCATAAATATATACTTATACCTATTATACGGTGAAACGAGGGCATAAAAATGGTGCAATGCGTGTCTAAGACACGCTGAGGGGATTATTATTCTTTTTTTTACCGACAAGCTCCCCTATTTTCGACCGTATTCCTTAACCCTCGTCCGCGACCGTTTGGCTGAAAACTCAATGTATACGTGTGTACTACACTATCGGTGCTTGACAACGTACACAACAAAAGCCGGTGGTACCCGTATTAATATATTACACTTAACGATATTCGTTAAAAATACTAACACGGCACACATATAGACCAACTCATATGAATCGCTGTACCATTACCAATAAATAATGGTTGGCTCGTTTGTATACAACAGACGACGTATACTGTCAGCACTAAAATTAATTTCTTTCGTGTTTATTTTTCTTCGTTGATAAATTGATTGGGTTTGGTTTTGTCAATACTGCTTTTCGACGGTTGACCAAATAAATTTTGGTATTACATTTCACTGACTTATTAAAGTACTTTGGTTACGTTATGAACTTACACGACAACAAATAAAATTTATTGAAAGTAAAAATATAATTTCAAAGCAAAATTAAATGTATTTTATAATTGTGTGAATTTTCTTTACTTTAGTTAAAGAAAAACACAATGGACTAAAAATTTACTGAATGAAATGATGAAATATTTGTTTATTAAGAGTGTATAGCATATCTGTTACACAGAAAAAACATCTTAAGAAAATCAATAATTTTTTTAATCAATAAATAAACAATACGACCACCATTCATTTTTTTATTATATGAATTAATTTTTGTTAATTTAATATTTTTTTGTTTATTTAATAAATTATTTGTGATAGATTGTTAATTCTTATAACGAAAATAATGGTTAAATTGACAACAAATTATGATTTATTCAACAAAAAGTTTATTCAAAATATATTGATAATATTTTTATCAATTTTACAGGGAAAATTTTCAATGTAATATCAAATCTAAAGAGGTTATGTGAGTAGAACACAACTCCATTGACAGCTATTTAAAAAAATTTCAATAGAAAATTTTTTGTAGACCTTTTTTATATATTAACTTTTTGTAATAAGCAAAAAGTCAGCAAATTTATGTCACCCTTTCTTTCATTTGAGTAGGTATACTGTTTAGCAACCTATTAATAGCTATTTGAATTTGGTTAATTATATTTAACTAAAAATAATGTTATATTAATGGTTAAAATAATATTACAGTTTAAAGTGTAAATTTATACAACAAAAATTGAAACAATTTAAATTTTTCAGTGTAAATTTTTAGACACAAAATAAAATCATTCATTTTAAAATGTTTATCTCATAGTTATAAAAATTATTTGTAGTTCTTATATTTCATTTCGCTCAGAATTCCGTGTAAAAATGTTTTATCAAATATTGTCCATTAAATCGTTTTACTTTTTATTTTGTACTCAGATGACTTTTTATCTTCGATGCGTAGATGAAAAGTTATTGTATTAATCATAATGTGGTATTTGTTTGTTTTTCCTTAAAAATACTTTGCTCCTACAGAACTAATTTTGTTCGACGATACATTATTAATCACAAATCGTATAGCAATTAGCGTGATAATATGTAAAAATTTCTGCATTCTTCATAAAAAGGGAAAATTATAATTGTGATAACATAGTACTGTTATTAATATTTTAAATTTTTACTTAGAAATATTTTTTTTTTAAATAGATGGATCTTTACGAAAGTTTTATTGACAATAATTTAGACATTTACCTTTCTGACAATATACTTTGGTTAGAAATCAAATATTAACCAAAAAATGTTCTGTCGCAGATTCCATAGAACCTGCATCTTTTAAGATTATGTCAAATTAAAACTTATATAATTATGCAATTGTTTTTGAAATAAAAAAAAATGTAGAAATCTTAATTTCTAGGTTTTATGGCTAATTAGTCTAAAAATCATACAATTTTCTACAAAAATAACTTCTGTAAAAGTAGTGGTTTACATTGCAATGGAACATCTATATCATCTAAAACTAAATTAAATAAAAGCTTTTTAATGTACTGAAAAACCTGGTATAAGTCTACTTATACTTGAAAAAATAAAAAGCTCGTTTTATTGAAAAACGTTCTGAAAATTATTAAATCAATTAGTAATATTTTAATATTACTTTTAATTACCAAATTACTTTTAAGATAAATCTAAAAAAAATTGAAGTCAAAATGTATTAAAAATTTAAGTTTTTATTATTTATTTATAAACATTACCATAAAAATATTTTATGCTAGTAATAACTGTGAAATTTTAATCTACACTGGAGCATATTATGATGGATTTTTACTATACTGGTCTGTATTTTTTTCTTTCAATGCTTTGTGTATAGAATGCATAATTTTATAATTAAATACATTTTTATATCATTAAATAATATTTATTTAATTTGTTCTAGTAAATAATATTACTTTTCAAAAAAACCAAACTTATCCCAATAGCAAGAATCTGAATATGTCATAAAAAAATTTTCTAAAATGTTATGCTCTTGTTGATTTATTTTAGGGCTTCAAATGGAGCAAAAAATTTATAAATATATAAATTTAATTTTAATGTTTAAAATTTAAATATCGATAAATATATTTATCATTTTTAAATTTTAGCTTCGATGCGAAGCTGAGAAGGTATTGGTTTTACTAAGATGTGTTTTTTTTTTGTGTCTGTTACCACTTTTTCTCAACTCTCATCGAACCGATTTCTTTCAATGATATGTCAAAAGATCACAAATCGTATGTAGTCGAAGACAGTACCCTCAAAAATTGAAAAAAATTTCCCTGTTCCCCGTAAATAGGGGAAACCTCCAAAAAAATTACAAATTTAAAAATCGCTAATTTTCGAAATTTTTTCAATTTTTTTTACTTAAAATAGCCATAACTTTTTTAAAAATAACCAAATCAATATAATTTTATTTTATTAAGATGCATGATATCATTATCTTTCATTTGGTATATATTTTTTTTATATCTGACATTTTACCTGCCCACAGGGGGGGATTTAAAATGACAACTTTTTCACAAAAAATTAATTTTTTCAACTTGAATTTTGAAAGTGTTCCGGAAAGTCTGACACTTTTATATATATCTTAAATTAAAGCTAATGTAATATACTTTATTATGAAAAAAAAAAATTTGACCTCTGGACTTGTCTTCATGGTGAAAATTGACACCGAATGCTATTTTTGTGTGAAAATTCTCGATTTTATAATTTACATTTTTAACTTTATAATGCTCTAACTTATTGAAAAGCGTATGGTTCAACACAATTTTTTTATGAGAAATAATATTTTTTAATAATTCCTTTTTCATTCGACATACATACTTTATCTTAATCAGGATATTAATAATCATGTAGCTTTTGGAATAATCCACCAATTTTTTAAAATTAAACACTATCTAAAGATTTGCATCGAAACGTTTTTTTTAATAGTTATTTTAATCACTGTCAGATATCATTATATTTGATCCAACTATGCCACATCACCACTGTGCCGCGACCCCCTGTGCTGGGTTTTTTTAGGTTGCTATAAAAAAAATGATCCTCTCATATTTTTAGTTTTAATACAACTGGATATAGCTTCGGGACAAATTAATGGATAAAACCCCTACAAACACTTTTAGCTTAAATTTTTTGAAAAATGATGAACAAAAAAACAAGTTATCACTTTTATTGAAATGAAATTATGGGCCTCGCTTTATTACCAAAAGGTAATAATGCTAGGCCAAAAGAATTGGTCAAAAATCGTATTGTTCATTCAATTTTTGGATAAGATTAAATTTAACAAAAGGTGTTCAAGCCCATAATACAAAATGCATGCCAAGTTTTATATTTATACTACAGACTAATAAAAACAAAACAATAAAAAAAATTGTTCATTTCATAACTATTAAACCAAATAATTTGAACTAATTAAACAGTTAACATTATAAATGATAAAATTAATTTCACATATTCATCAGTCTTATAAAAGAAAATTAGTCAATTTAGTTTAACATTTGGATTATTAACTAAAAAACATTTTTAATATAAAATTTTACAATATTACAAATTTTCTTAAATAACCAGAAAAACATATTAATCAAATAAAAATTTAGAATTTATAATTTTTAGTCAACCTTATTAAGATTGACTAAATTAAACTAAATATTAGTAATTAGTAAACAATTAACACTAAACATTTTATTTGGGAAACTTCAAGAATTGACAAAATGCAGACAATATTTTGGTAGTGTTCAAATATTTTTTGTTATTTTTATGTTTATCTGATTCTAAAACAAATTAGTAACACTAATATAGAAGAAGTCCTAATAGGATACCCTATCTATATAGTGTTTGGTGTGCTAAACAATGGTAAAAATACAACTGTGGAAACACTTTAGCAAAGATACTGAATTACTATAATTTAGTATTAAGTGCTCACAATGCACCTACAAGTTAATGGCCACCTCCTTAACATCTAAAACTGAAAATAGAAAAGTTATATTTTACTTTATCATTTATTTATAATAATTATTTTTTTATTCAATAACTTTTTCTTGAATTAATAATATACAAAGACTATTTGAATTCCTGAAATTCTGGAAAAATCTGGGTAGTTAGATCATTTCCAAATGTTGAGATAGTAAAAAAATTTCTTATATATTTTTAAACAATTTATTGTGAATTAAAGAAAATTTAATAAAAAAATGCATTAACTTTAATGATAATAATAATAACAAGTTATTCAAAAAGTCTCGGCACTAACGCTAAAATAGCAACTTTAATAACTTATCTTTATGATCTTTAGTTAGTACCAACCTTCCAAAGAAATGTCAAGATTACATGACATTTCAACAACACATTGCTGAGTTACAGTCATTAATGTGAAGCTACTTTTGTTATTTTGTAAACAATGAATAAAAATTAATTTTGTGCTTTGCTTAGACACTACTATCTAATGGGGAAAAACACTGTGAAAACCCAGGAATAGTTGAAAAGTTTTATAAGGACTCTGCCCCATCAAAAACAACTTTAAAAAACCCAGCACAGTGAGGATGTGGCATAGTTGATCAAGTATAATAATATCTGACAGTGATTAAAATCACTATCATAAAAAACACTTTGATGCAAATCTGTAAATAGTGTTTAATTTAAAAAAATTGATGGATTATTCCAAAAGCTACATGTCTATTTCCTTATTTATATCCTGTTTACAAGTTTTATGATATATATATGTGTAATATATGAATAAATATATATATATATATATATATATATATTAAGGGAAATGGTGTTATTTTAAAAAATAAATATTACTTCTTATAAAAAAATTGTATTAATCCAAACATTATTCAAATAGTTATAGCATAATAAAGTTAAAAATGTAAAGTATAAAATTTCGAAAATGAACGATTAAATTTGTAATTTTCCCAATTTACAGAGAATGATGGAAATTTTTTTAATTTTTGAGTTTAATATCTTCGATTAGATACAATTTGTGATCTTTTGATGTATTATTGAAAGAAATCGGTTCGGTGAGAGCTGAGAAAAAGTGGTAACACAAAAAAAAAAAACACATAGTAAAACTAATACCTTCTCAGTTTTGCATCAAAGCTAAAACAACAAAAAAAAATCCACAAAATCCTGTTGGTAATTTGTAAAGTGAAAGTGCGTGAGATATTGTAAAGATTTTAACTGATCATGTACATATTTTATATGAACTTTTGGGTATAAGAAAGATATGCTCGAAATGGGTGCCACATTTGCTAACTGTGAACAACAACGTGTCGATGATTCACAGAGCTATTTGTAGCTATTTAACAAGAATAAGAAAGAATTTTTGCGTCAATATGTGACAATGGATAAATTGTGAATCCATCACTACACTCCCGAATTAAAATAACAGGCATCCGACTGGACTGGACCCGGTGAAAGTGTTCTGAAGTGGCCAAAAACGCAACAATTAGCGGGCAAAGTTATGACCTTGGTATTTTGGGATATACATGGAATTATATTCATTGATTATATCTAACATGGTAAAACAATCAATAGTGATTACTACATTGTGTTATAGTAGCATGTAAAGGCCAAATCGCGAAAAAAGTAGCACATGGCAAAGAAAATTATCTATTTCACTAAGACTATGCACCATGTCACAAATCATTAAAAACCATGGCAAAAATGATTTGGGCTTTGAATTGCTGCCGTAGATCTGGCCCTCAGCTACTACTATTTCTTCACGACTCTGAAGCGAATGCTCCAGGGAAACAGATTCAGCTTGAATAAAGAAGTCAAAGCCAAAAAAGAGGTGTATTTTAAGGGCACAGATAAATTGTTCTATTTGAAAAGCATAGAAATGAATGTATCACTTTAGAAGGAAACTATGTTGATGTATAAAGTCAAATTTTGCGAAAAAAATGTGTTTTTATTTGTTAGTACAGAGACGTTTTAAACAACCTGTTATGTTTTATGTTTAACTTATAAATTATATGATCATTCTTTTATCAGTTACTGGAATTATGGTTTTTGTATTTGCTATTACTTATTTAAAAGCTTATATTCCCCAGTAAAACCCAATTCTCTAGTTAATTATACTAATTTTTCTTCACATTGATCAACCTTAAAAAAAAATGTCAAATCAAACAGTCCTAGACTATCTTAATACAGTTTTTTTTATTAATATCAAATATAAAATTAACAACACAATTAAAAACATTCCATATAAAAAAATAACACCCAATATATTAATTTTTTTAATTGATCTATTAATTTAAATTAATTACCATGAACAACTTTTTAATGAGGACAACGAAATTTTTTTCCAGCATACTTAGCATCACAACCCAATTCCTCTTCAATACGTAAAATTTGATTATACTTAGCTAGACGTTCAGAGCGGCATGGTGCACCTGTTTTTATCTAAAAAACAAAGTTTACTGAATTCTACTTTATTAAAATTTTAAACATTAAAATTATTTACTTGTCCCGTACTTAGACCAACAGCTAGATCAGCAATAAAAGTATCTTCAGTCTCTCCAGATCGATGAGATACCATTGTTCCCCAACCATTTTTTTTAGCCAATAAATATGCATCAATAGATTCTGTTACGGTTCCAATTTGGTTTACTTTTAATAACAAGCAGTTACAAGCTTTTTTTTCAACAGCCTCAGCAATCCGTTTTGGGTTTGTTACTGTTAAATCATCACCTACAATCTATTATAATATTTAAATAACATTTGGGTAGATTTGAAAATATTACAATACTTGAATGTCAGTTGTTTTTGTAAGTGATGCCCAAGCATCCCAGTGATCTTGATCAAATGGATCCTCTATTGAAACAATAGGAAATTTATTAATGAATTCCTTGTATAATGCAGTTAATTTTTCCGTAGAAATAATCTGACTTTTATCTTTAGATTTTGATTTGTTTTTGAAATCCAAATCATATTTACCATCACTATAAATATTTTATGAGTTATATACAGAAAATTGCAATGTAAAAAGTTATTTTTAGTTTAATTACACATAAAATTCAGAAGCAGCAACATCTATACCAATATCAACTCTTCCCTGATACCCAGCCTTGTCAATTGCAATCTCAATCAAATGCAGACCTTCTATATTTTCTAAAATATTAGGTGCAAAACCACCTTCATCACCAACAGCAGTTGCATCTAAACCAAATTTTGTTTTGATAACACTTTTTAGATTGTGGTATACTTCTACTCCTATTTTCATAGCTTCAGTAAAAGAACAAGCACCTATAAATAACATAAAATTGAATTATTTAATTTTCTATAGTTAAAATACACTCAATTACTTCTTAAAATAATTTAAGCTAATATATATGAAAAATTTTTTAAATAATTTAAACTAATTTAAAATTATTAACTTAATAAAAAACTATAAATGTAAAAATAGAAAGATAATTTGATTATTAAATCAACAATAAAAATCTTTATAATTTTTTTATTTTAATTGAAAAGGTAAATCATAGCAATATCATCACTAAATTATCATAGATAGAAAAAATTTTGTTAGTATAAAATGTATAACAGAGAAAAATGTGCTAATTATAAAGCATAGACATGATAACTTTACAGCAATATAACATTTTTACCAGTTGGTAAAATCATAAACTCTTGCATGGCCAACTTATTACCAGCATGAGACCCTCCATTTATAACATTGAAGGCCGGAACAGGTAAAATTATATTTTTATTTCCAGCCAAATCAGCTATATGTCTAAATATAATAATTAGAATAATTAAAATTATTAATTAAAAAATAAATTTTAAAATATACTTATAAAGAGGAATTGATTTTCTGGAAGCACCTGCCTTAGCTATAGCTAATGAGACACCTAAAATTGCATTAGCTCCAAGTTTTGATTTGTTAGGAGTTCCATCTAACTGGATCATAAAATTATCAATGGCCTTTTGCTCAGTGACTTGAATACCCTAAATTAAAAATAAAAAGTTAATTTTAATCAATGCAAAATTAATTAGAAATTCTGAGCTGCAATTATTAATTTATTGATCCAATTTAAGCTATTAAAATTAATTAACTTAAAAAATAATAAACAAATTTTAATCACAGATTTTATAAGAGCTGGTCCAATGAGACAATTTATATTATTAACGGCGGTTTTTACACCTTTTCCAAGATAATTGCACTTTTGATTATCACGAAGTTCCAATGCTTCATAAGTACCAGTACTTGCACCAGATGGTACAGCTGCACGAAATGTTATTCCATCAGAAGTAGTTAAATCGACCTAAATTAAAGAATAGTAATTATTTAAAAAACTATATTTTTGTATACATTTAATAAAACTTTTTAATTCATTCCTTATACATACTAAGTGTGTTAACTTCATTTTTAGCTTTGATGCGAAGCTGAGAACCTTCTCAGTTTCGCATCGAATTAATGTTGCTATTATGTGTTTTTTTTTTTTTTAAATATGCACATGATCTGTTGAAATCTTTACAATATCTCACGCACTTTCACTTTACGAATTTCCAACAGGATTTTTTTATATTGTTTTAGCTTTGATGCAAAACTAAGAAGGTATTAGTTTTATTATGCTGTGTGTTTGTTTGTTACCACTTTTTCTCAGCTCTCACCAAACCATGAGAGCGAACCATTATTTCTTTCAATAATACATCAAAAGATCACAAATTGTATCTAGACGAAGATATTAAACTCAAAAATTAAAAAAATTTCCATCGTTCCCTGTAAATTGGGAAAATCTCCAAAAAAATAATTTTGCTTTTAGAATAATCAACCAATTTCTTAAAACTAAAGACAGATTTGCATCAAAGTTCTTTTTATGATAGTGATTTTAATCACTGTCAGATAACGTCTATACTGGACCCAACTATACCACGTCCTCACTGTGCCGCAACCTCAATGTGTTGGTTGTTTTAAATGGAAACATACATATTTAGCTAGCTTATAAAACAAAACAAAATTTTTTTTTAAAAAAATGACTGGTCAAGAACAACTTATGACCTACTATTTTGATAGTTAAAATAAATAGTTTACCATTTAAAAAAGTAAACTGGAGGTAAGATGTGAGTATGACAATATTCGCCATTAGAAGTTTCTCAGTCATACTCTTTTCTTGCTTATGTATAAAAATGTTAATAACTTTCAAAGTACTAATCCAAAAGTTATTGACCAGTCAATTTCTTTTTAAAACCCAAATGAAACATTTATTTTGTACTAAGTAACAATTATTTTAAGTAATATAACAGAACTCACTTCAACTGTAGGATTACCCCTTGAGTCAAATATTGAACGTGCAACAAGTTTTGAAATAGGTCTGCTTTCTTTACAAGGATGTTTATAAACTGTACTGGTTTGAAAACCCCTGAAGATATTTTACACATTTCCATTACAAAGTGAACTTAGATATACATTTTTTACTCCATCACTATTATATATTTAATACAAATAAACAGAAAAAAAATATTTTTTTTTGAAAAATTTTTAAAAAAAACCTATGGAGACATAAATTAAACTAGTTTTAAGGTAAAGAAATTCAGTTTTTTTTTATATTATTTGTTTTTAAAATATACATATATGATCAATTTATAATAAAGAGGGTATAAATGTCACATAGCGTGTTTACAACTTAGTTTTATTTATTAAAATTTTTTAATAAAAAAAAAATGAGTAGTATACTAATAATACATTCATTTTTTATAAAATTCACAGGTAATGTAATGTTGTGGAACAAATTGTAAGTAAACATAATACAAACCTAAAATATAAAGATGGTAAACCATGATATCGCTTCAAATTCATTACATTTTTATAGAAAGGTGGCATCATTTCACAAGAAATGTTAAATTCTAAGTGTAAAATATACTTGTTAAATAATTTAATTTATCTTCAAAAGATGTTTTTCATTATATATTATTATTTAATTTCATATTACAATCTAAAGTACAAGCTAAAGTAACCGAATTTTTTATTTTATCACTTATACTTACTCTCTTCAGTTGAGAGAATAAATTCTCAAGATGAAATGTGAGTTATTTGATATTAGTTATTAAATTTACTGATAATAATTTGTTATTTCTAACATATGACTTTAACAAGTAACTAGTTAGGCCAGATAAAAAATTTAATATTGTTATTTCAGAACTGAAATTAATTAAAACTGTATGCTATGTACTATCAGGGTTATTAAAAAACACATAAAAAAACCATTTAAAATGTCCAATATAATCATTGTAAATTTTAAAATGTTTGGTGTTTTAAACACGTTTATAACGTAACAGCCCTGATTCGTATACTCCGCTTCCGATCCATACCCTATCATTAATCTATCAATTAAAATGCTTGTAACTCAACGAGTGTTTTAAAATTACTATGGATCCACCAAATTTTTTTTATGAGAAAAGAAATAAAAAAAGTCAATTATAAAATTTGAAAAAAAAATGTATTTTTTTTTATTAGTAAAAAATAATAAACAAATATGCTTTAAATCAAAGAAAGCTTTAGTTATTAAAAATAAATATCCAACAAATTGATAATTGTATTAAAAGTTATAAGCGTTATCATTTATATTTGTGACATTCATAAAAATATTTACAATCATTTTAAAAAATCGATTTTAATTTTAGTGTTTTTGTAGACTAATCATTAAAAAAAATTCAAATAATCAAATCAGTGTAATCAAAGATTTTAAAAATGCGTTTTACCAGGCAGGTTTCTTTAAAATTATCTAATTCATCCATACATGTACATATATTGAATTGTTGAATTGATATAAAATTGGTTTAATTTATCAAAAATTTATGTTATTTGAGTACAAAGATTTAATCAAAACTTTCGCTAATAATTAACATATATTCTTCAATCATAAACTTTGAACCCCAATTAATCTGTTAACCGTTTTACTGAGAATATCATTTTTTTAAGGATGTGCAATTAAATGTTTTTTTTTAACTCATTAAAGTTAATTAAATAGTAGTTAAGTTAATAGTAATTTAGATATGTTTCAAAGTTAATCCGTTATTCTTCGTAAAATCATAAGGATAATGTATTTTTTTTTGTAGTGGAGGATATGTTATTTTTCACTTACTAACTTTTTTTTATTCAATATTTTTGGAGATGAAGCCCTATATTTACACATTTGATTTGACAATTAAATGATATAGCGACTTCCTTGCTTATCAAAAACTTATATTCATTATAGCACAGTTTAATTGAAATGAAATTTTATTTAATCTGTGATCAGTATCATTATAACTATCATTGGCGCTTTAAGGCAATTATACATTTGATATATAATATATTTAAAAAAAAAAACATCTTATGCAAAAAAAATATATCCATATTTTTTTAGCACTCCTCAAATATGTCACGCCCTAGGAGACTTTCACGACCTGTCTGTGATGGTACTATACCTGTAATTCATTGAACGACTGTTGTTGAAAATAATGTAGACAGATTTCTATAAATAGATTTTGTTTACGTGATTACGTGCCTGAGAATTGTCGGAGACTCGCGAGTATCGAAGAAGTTGTTCATCAATAATCTTGACATTAAGCATTATGAAACCATAAAATGGATGTTACATAATATGTATATCATTAAACAAATTAAATGTTGAAGACACATAAATTTCTAACTAATATTTATAAATTTAATTTTGTAATAGTATATAGAATTTTATTTAAAAAAAGAATATTTAATGATAAACTCCAATAAATAATATAATTAGTCGTTAAATGAACAAATGATAAACTAATTAAACTTAAAACCTAAACATCTCCGTTAAGCTAAAAAGTTTAACTTCACTTATTTTAATTTATTAAACAATGCAAGGTATATATTTTTCTTCATTAAATTAGTAAAGCTGTTGCAATATCTCTATGTTACTAAACTTAACGATACCGTAAAATTGTTGTAAATCTACTGTTATAAACTTTATTTAAATTTAATATTTCGATGTCTATTAGAGTTATTTCACTAGTGTTCATTCAGAAGTTAAGAGTTTTGCATCTTTTAAAATTCTTTATAGTTTATATCACATTCAAAAAGTTATTAAATATTTACTCTCTGGAAAATTGTTGACAATAATGTAAAAATATTTATAATTAACTAACACAAACATTTAAATTAATTATTTTATGTTGAAAACGTCTGTAACAATCTATGAAACGTTTTAAAAATCATTTTGGAGATAGTTTACATTTTAGAATTATGTTAAAATGTCTACTAAGTAATTTACCCGTGAATTGAAAATTTAAAAAATTATTCATTTATTTCGTAATTTTAACTATTATTAATTGAAAAGTTTTTATATGAAAATATTTTAAATAAAACAAAGAAGAGTAATAGTAAATAGTTTTAATTAAATATACTCCAAAAACAAAAGACAGTTATATTATGTAACTATAATTATATTTAGTTTTTATAGCAAAAATTAAAATCAATTAATAACTTCGTGACTCACTCTGTATAAAATCAGATATGTAATATATACATCAGAAACAGTATTTTTATTTTAACTATACATATTTTATATATTTAATTAAAAATACTGATTCATTTAAAATTTCTATTTTAGCTACAAAAGAAATTAAATTTTTTTAATTATATTTCCTATTTCCTATTTATTATTTATTTTATTTCTTCGTTAATTTAAAATTGTTTTATTAAAAGGTAAATTTATATTTTATTTTTATGTATTTATTCTGTTTTATTATAAGATAGTAAAATAAATATATTAATATATTAACATATGATACATGGAAAAAACAAGGTATATATTTTTTTTTTGTAAACTGAGAAAATCGAATTTTAATTTTAAAATGCCGTGTTATTATATGTAGATGATGTGGGAGATCGTTAAAGTGGAAATTTAAGATAAGGGTGGTCTACTTCAAGTAGTTGGGATAAAAGTGAGGAGAAGAAAAGGTGGTGTCTGCAGAACAAAAACTAGTTGCTAATAAACAATATTTGTTAACACTATGAATACAGTTTTTTTATAAGTATGTTGATTTCTGGATTTATAAAAAAAAATTGTTTTATTATAAAGTATGATAAGTGGTTCTTCATTAGCTTTGTATATTCATGCATTTCAATTTTGTTTCTAAGGAATAAGCATTTTCTTTAAGTTAAAGAAAATGCAAAATATATTTTAAAAAATTCAAAATATTAAATTTGTAATTAAGAAAATGATTAGTCAATAACAAATTTATAACAATTTACAAATTTAAAATGAAGATGAGGTGAGGTTTGGATTATGTTATTGTTATGTTTACTCTGCTGCGCTATTCCTCAACTAAATATTTTAAAATTTTAATAATTATTGAAGTTCTAGTTCAAAAACTATTATCAACCCGCCATTTTTTTAATAAGATCGTATTTTATTTTGTAAAAAAAATTTCATTGTAACAATATTGACATTTAAAGTTTTTAATTGTGATATAACTGATTATTTCTCTACCATAATTAATACTAAAGTAACAAGAGCTAACAAAGTTGAAGCCCAGTTAAGAAATATAAATTTGTAATAACCATTCTGTTTGACCTACACGCATCAACAAACTCCGTGGGTAAAATTTTGTCATCGATTGTTTGTTTCATTATAATAAAAAATTCTATCCCTGTATTATACAAACATTTGTTGTTGTTGTAAAGTTGAATTAAATAATACTATTCTTCGCTTTAGTATTCGGTAATCATTTTTGATTTTTGTGAATTTTCTTAAGTAGGCGTTTATTAGTCAGCATTTATTTCCTGTTTTTTTTTAATTACAAATAATTTATACCATAATTTATTATTATGAGTAACCAAAACACCAACTTTTATCAGATAAAATACGATAAAATCAAAGCGTTGCGATGGCCTTCCCTTCGTAAGGATTATCGTCTCTCAAGATCAGTTTATTATTGGTTTGCTCGTGATGATAACTCCGCAAAAGCGTCGTTCAATTTTGAAGTATTAAGGTCTTTATCACACAATAATGAAATTATTAAAAACTTGAGTGGATCCCAAATAAATAAATTGAATAAGTGTAATAGTTCTAATGTTTCTAATCCTAATCAAGAGCCAGCTGAAGATTCATTTCGTCATTCAACGATACTGCACTTATTTCGTCAGCGGACTTCCACATTGTATGACTTGAATCCTCAAGACGTTATTCCAGGGGTTTTTCAAGACGAAAAGGGTAATAAATTTTTAATGGCTTTCAATGAGCAGACAACAAACATGAAAGTCGTTCAAGATCGATTCGATTGTTTTATAAAAAAAGGACAACGACTGGGGTTGTCTCATGACGTGCTGCTTAGAGCACTATGTTCAACGGAAATGTTTGTAGTGCTTGCATCTCAAATTTGGGAAACACTTGGTCTAAAAGATGAACAATATCTATTAAAATTGGTAGAAATAGCAGCAATGTGTACTGCCTTTATAGATATGGCGGGCTTGCTCCACGATCCCGTTTTTTTAATCATGAGCGGCTACATTCCAGATAAGCAACAGAGGGATGAATTTGAAAATATGCGTGAAGAGTCAAAAGAGTTTTCATATGCAAACCAAAATTTATATTTTGATATGTATTTTAATGAACAACACAGGCCGGAATACTTCCCTTCAGCAGGACATACAGAAGATATCCAGCAAACTTTGGCTTTATATTTTAATAACTCGTCTGTTTTTTCCTTAACCTATGCCGATCAGGCGTGGCGATATTTATTGTTATTACCCACTCGACATTTTTGGTCTGAAGAAGATAAAATAATGCAACACGCTATCATCCACAACAGGTTACTTTTGGACGCGTACACGCTTTTCACAGTTCGTTTACCGGAATGGGTTATGTTTGATCATGGTGTTGTACCTAACGAGCTTGGAAATATCTATATTGTATTTGATGGAATTACCCCTTGTCACAGAACATCTTTTATGGTAACTCACGCGGCGTCTATGGCTAATAAGTATCTATCTGATGTTTCTGAAGGAAAATATGAAGAATTCTATGATCTTAGCTATTTAATGAAATTAATTAATAATTTTCATATACCAGGATATTTTAAGGAAGATGAATGACACGACAAAAAAAAGTCAATATTTTGGTTATCTATAGTTTTTGTTTATTTTTATTAAAAAACTATAATACCTATTGATTGGACTATATTTTTTATGAATTAAATAATAAAGAATAACAATTTAAATATAAATATAATACGACATAATTCACCCAAAATAAAATAATAAACAAACATTCTTTGAATTCGTATACATAGGAATCATGATCAATAATTGATTTTATACTGATGATTATTATCAACGTAAAAATATACCAAATAATAGTTAAATACCTAATATATCTATTAAAAAAAAATTGTATTGATTCATACATTTTTTAAAAAGTTATAGAAGTATAAAGTTAAATATATAAAATACAAGATCGAAAATTTTAACACAAAAATAGCATACGGTAACCATTTTCACCATGAAGACAAAATGAAGTTAGACATTATTTTTCCATAATAAAATATATTACATAAGCTTTAATTTAAGATACATATATAAGTGTCAGTATTTCCAGTACTATTTAAAAAGTTAGGTTGAAAAAATTAATTTTTTTGTGAAAATGTTGTCATTTTCAATGCCCCCTATGGGCTTGGGTTTAGCTGGATATGTAAGTGTTCTAACCAAAAAATGTGCAGGTGTTAAAGTCTGCATGATCATTTGTTATATGGGTAATCGTATGCGAGTTTAATATCGCTTTTATAACATTTAAAAGCGTTGTTTTTTTAAATAGCGGCCTCTCGAAATTGTCTTTGGCGCAGAGCAGTGATGTTGAAAAATACAACTGAATTTTTTATTAATAATCTTTGATGTGTTTCTCAGCATTAAAAAATTTTAATTCCTCCTAGAAAATAATGCTTGTGTCACTATAGAGGTCACAATGGCTTTTAACTTTAGTGTCTGTTACACACAGAAGTCCCGAGAACATTAAAAGCTTTTAAGCTTTAATTTAAGTTTGGAACAAATAAAGATATCAAGTTTTCTGGAACATTCTTAAAAATTAAGAATATAAGTGGCTGATATACACAGATTTCTATATAACTCCCTTTTAAGGGTGATAAATTATGTAATTTTAAAAAAAAGTATGTCTTTAAAAAATACATTTTATCAATAAAATTTATGATTAATTTAATGAATCAGATGTTTTTTAATTAGATATATATTTCCAAACAATGAAATTATAAGTAAACAAAAAACAGTTAAAATAGGTAGTAAAAAACCCTGGATATCTTTAGCTCTAAAAGATCACTTAACATATTTTCGCGCATGTTATGACAGTGGTGTCATCTATTATCAGTAAAAAGGCCAGCAGTTATCATTTATAACTAATGCGATCAAGTAAATATAAAAACAGCGATTGTTATCATAATTATTATTATTAAATATAATGCTTCATTTATTATAGTTAATTTTAACTTGTTTTTATTTTTAATTAAATTTAATGTATGAATTATTTTAACTTATCTTTTGCTACGCAATTAAACGATTACGTATTTTTTTTTGTTTTTCATTTATATTTTGTTCATTATTTCTTGTTTTTATTAGACCAGCAGTTTTTATAAAATTACTAGATACGCATACTACCTTTTTTTGTTAAACGTGACTATTATTCAAGATGAGAATTATTAGTTGCATCATGAACCGAAATTTAGAAAAGATGGTTGATTTTTACTCACACTTCAATCCATCATCATTGTCAATAAAACAATTCATTGATTTTGGTAAGTTAATTTTATTTGAACAATTAATTACCAAGGTCATACTATCCTGGATAAACTAATCATAAAAAGAGTATTCCTTATTTTACATTTTAAATATATGTCATTGTATTTTATAGCTATTTAAATTCAGTGGTTGTTTAATTGATTTATTTCTTAATAAATATGAGATATTTCTATTTTATTTCAATTTTTTGTTTTGAAAATGATTTACCTATTTTATTTATTACTCATGATCTTCTATTTTATCATATTTTATTTTAAAAATAATTCAATTTAATTATTTATTTTTAGTTTTGATGCTTAGCTTAAAGGTATTAATTTTACTCCGTTGTATTATTTTATTTATTCAAATAATTCTGATTTTTATTATTTTAATCATTAATTCTAGATTAAGGAATGTTGAGTAATGGTATAATATTATATGTATCCTAAAGGTATTAAATAATTAAGTCTTGTTAAATCCATTCATTTCAATTAATCACCATAAAAATGAACATTGTATGAATATAATTCATGTTTGTAATTAATAATCATATGATATGATATATCAATGGTAAATCCTAAAGTAAAAATGGAATAAAACAATTCATTAACTAGAAACATTGTATACAATCCCACCAAAGATAACAAAAGTCTACTATAAGTAGTTTAACTCTTAATTATTTAGAACAAATGAACCAAGATAACACAAAATCGTGTTATAAATGATATCAAATTTTATTTATGTATTATTTTTAGGTCTTAAGGCAAACGAACAAAAATCATTTCAATTTTTAAAAAAAGAACTACCAGTTCGATTAGCTAATATCATGAAAGAAATTCATTTACTTCCTGATAATTTACTTAAAATGCCATCAGTTGGCCTAGTAAATAATTGGTATGCCCAATCATTTAAAGAAGTAATTGAATTTGAAATAGATGATGGTTTCAATGATGAAACTCTATTGAAGTAAATGTTTTTTTATTTAATTTATGTAGTAAACATTTACTTAATATTTATTTACAAAAAATAATTGCTTAATTTTTGAATCATCAGTGGTAACATATTTCAGATTTACTCAAACATTGGTAAAAATTCGTAATAGACATTCTGATGTTGTTCAGACAATGGCACAAGGTGTTCTAGAACTCAAAGATTCATTTAAAATAGATGCTCATACTGAAAATAGTATTCAATATTTTCTAGATCGTTTTTATATGTCTCGAATTGGTATTCGCATGCTAATTAACCAACATAGTAAGAATAAACTTTATAGTTTTTATAAACTATAAATATAAATATAATTTAAAAACTAATTTTTTCCTATGAATTTTCATTTTCATTTAATTTGTATTTGTTATAGCTCTCTTATTTGGTGAGCATATAAATAACAACCATCATCAACATATTGGATGTATTGATCCTAATTGTAATGTTATAAGTGTTGTAAAAGATGCTTATGAAAATGCTAGATTTTTATGTGATCAATACTACTTAACTTCTCCTGAACTACAAATAAAAAAACCTTTAAGTAAGTATTTACCTAATAGAAAAAGAGCATCTAGTTGGCAATTCCCTTTTTCATTTTTCACTTTCCCTTTATATTTTAATAAAAACACAAAATATTTTAAAATAGGTCCGTGAAAATTTATTGATCTGGTAGCTCGGGCCTGTGTGTTAAGCGGTTAATAATTGACCTATTACTAAAATTTTTTTTACAGGTGAAGAAAATGATGATTCTATAAATATAGTATACGTTCCATCTCATTTATATCATATGCTGTTCGAAATATTTAAAAACTCAATGAGAGCTATCGTTGAACATCATAAAACAGATATTTTACCTCCATTAGTGGTAACAATTGTTAAAGGAAAAGAGGATATTTGTGTTAAAGTAAATATATTATCCCATTTAAAGAGTATTGGTACACTGTCCATTTATATTGGTTAGCAAAATATTTATTTTTTTTAGCATGATTTTAATGTTTTCTACACTACTTTTTAAACATATCATGATTTAAATTAACCTTATTAAGACTGTCATACTTCTCTATTCTATGGAAATTATCAAAAATAATACCTTTGCTAAACCAGATAAATCTTTGAACATCGCTACCTCTTTTAGGTCAATTAGTCTCCTGCCTTCCTTATCAAAAATACTTGAAATATTTATTCTAAAACAAATAATGCTGCATGTTAAAGATAACAACATACTCCCAAATACTTAGTTTGCGTTTCATCATACAGCACAATACATCAAATACACAGATTAGTATACGTTATCTCTCATTTATTTAAATTAAATCATATCTATAAGACCGTCACTTTCAGGTCCAGTATTGTTCCTCTACATCTAGTATTGCAAAAATTAATGCTGGTGTTCCCTAAGATAAGGAATTTTATCTTCCTTAATTTTTAATAATTACAGTACTGACCAGCCCATTTTTCAATAGTTTTCTGTTTCCGTTTATGTTGATGACAAAGTTATTATGTCCATTAGCAAGGACCCAGTACAATTATATTTTAACCTCATGTCTGAGTGGTATGAAAAATAGAGAGTTAAAATAAATCAATTGTAATTGTCATCATCATTATCATTTATTATGATGATTGAGTGATTCTCTACTACCTTTTCATTTTCAAACAGAATTTTTCCATGTTTATCACAACTATGTTACTGGACGTCTTGGGTTTATATTGCAATATCCATCTTCATACTATCCCAGCTTTTTTGTCCAATATCAAGTTCATCTAAATTCCTTTTGTTATATTTTGGTCTTTTAGTTTTTCAATGCACCATTTCTTATTTTTGTTACTTTAGTTCTTTTCTTAAATTTGATGTTGTATTGTGCCATCACAAGATTATGGTCAATATCGATTTTATATCCTGGGTAGGCATAGCTAGATTTGATTTGATTTCTGAACTTCGTTTTTACAAGTATGAAATCTATTTGATACTGACTTTTATCTCCAAGCGCTTTTCATGTGTATCTTCTCCTTAGTGGGACTTCAAAGTATGTATGAGCTCCTGTTCACAAAACTCTAACAATCTTTTCCCTCTTTTGTTTCTCTTCTCAAGTCCATTTTTTCCTGAGAAGTTACTTCTTTCACAGCCTATCAAGGCGTTAAAATTGCCTATGATAAATACTTTTGAGTTGCATTCTGTTAGTTGCATGTGTTCCTTAATCTGTTTGTTTGTCTCTTCAATTTCTTTATCCATACTTTTAGATGTAGGAAAATACACTTGTATAATGTAAATGTTTGTAGGCTTTGCTTCTATTTTCACCATAAGAAACTTGTTATTTAGGTAGTACGAGTTGAGTGCATTGCCTTTCCATTTTCTTCAAAATATCACTGCCGCCCGTTTCTTCCTCTTTTCTCATTTCCACTATGAATGATTCTAAAATTATCAGATATGAAATCACCATTTCCATCTCGTTTCACTTATACCAAGTATATCTAGCTTTACTTTCTTCATTTGTTCTTTTACTTCTTCCAGCCTTCCCGTTTTAATCATTGTCTTCATATTCCTTGTCCCTATTCTAAAATAGTCCTGTTTAGTCTTTTTACAAGGTTTTTGTTGGATGATGACCTGAGAAGCCTTGGATCCTGCTGTATATTGGTATCTGAATTCCATGATCAGTACATCTTTCTTCATTTTCATTGTACATCATTTAGTTAGTAACACCTTCTTGGATTGTAATATCATAAAGATCTATAATGCTGTAGTTTTCCTTTTGCCTTCTGCATCCACATGGTCGACCTTTGAAGGTGATTTGTCACCTACAAAACAAGTGATTGCCCTTCTCTAGCTACTCATTCGTTCTTTCGGCTGTTGGTTTTCAGAGTTTGCTCCTTATTTCAGTAGTTGGTTGGATCACTGGAATTGTCTGACTTAGATTTTTCACCAGTGAAGCTAGGTGCCCTGAGTTTGCTATACTCATAGTGTATGTAAGCCATATACTCCCTTGAAGCTATTGTAATTGTATTAAAATAAAAAAAATTGTTAAGATTGTTTGTGTCAAATACAAAATAAAATTAACTTTATTATAATTATTTCAATAAATTTAATAATAGAAATATGAAATATGTTAATAGATTTCTCACTATTTTGAAGAGTTTTTCTTTTAAAAGCCTGTATAGTAAAAAATGAAAAATTATTTTTAAGAATTAAAAGATTTCTATATTACGATAAGGTGATGCTTGTAAATTAATTATCATATTAATATTATATTATAAGTAAGTGTAGTTATTAAGTTTAAAAAATTAAATTTCTATATATCATTAAACCGACTTAAAATTAAAATAAAAGAAAATGTATTCTGTAATATATTCTTTAATGAGTTATTTATTAAGTATTTTTGCAGCTTAAAAATAATGGCACTAAAAAATAAATAAAATAAATTTAGAAATAATATCACTTAAAATAAGATATTGTAGCGTATTATTATTCAAAATTCAACATAAATGTATACTAATTAAAAAAGTATGAACAAAAATTTTTTTTAATTTTAAAATGTAGGGACGATTTTTAGTGTAAATCCATGCTTAATTCTTGAAACACTTATATATTAGTTGTATAATGAAATATGGAGAAAAGTTGTTCAACAATATTGTACAAATATCAATTTACCAGTGTCTCAAAAACAGTGATAGCTATTTTATTGTTAATATACCCAAACAATTATTTTGATAAATATATTATACATAGCTCTTTTTTTGAATAGAAATAATTATAACTTTTACAGTATTGTGTTTAGTTATTGATATTTTTTTATGTTTGTAATAGTCTTGGTATAACTTTATTTAAGATGATTATCAAAACATATAATATTAGCATTATTGAAAATATATAAGAAAACACGCATTAAATAAATTAAAATGTACAACTAGGTATAAAACTATGTATGGAGCTATAAGAAAACAATACATGGTGCTCAAAGGATAAACAATCAAGATGAGAGTATTATACATTGAAGAATGACAGTTATTACTTAATATATTATTCCTGCCATTACACTTTTAAAATTTTATAATTTAAAATTTAATTTAATACAGGTTTGTTTTTTTTTTTAAATTTGTTTTATATTCAATTTGTTTCTTGTTTTTGAAATAGATTTTTAATAAATAATTTGAATAAACAACTTTTAAATATTGCCTATAATTTTTCAGGATCTGGAAAAACTATGTATTTCATTTTTTTCAAATGAAAGTTAAAAAAAAATTTTTTTACAATAACTTTCTTATAAAGTAATTCTTTAAAATATAATTTTTAAGTATTATAATATGGAATTAATTATGTCCTAGATCTTTTTATGAATTAAACACTATAAAACATTTTGTACACTGTCATATATGTATGCGTAATTGGTTGGTTAAAAAAAAAGAAATTAATTAATATGTTCTTTTTAAAAAATGTCTATTGTCTATAATTTTCTATATTTTATCATAATTTTGTTTAAATGTAGTAATTTAGTAAAAACTTGATATATTTATCTCAGGTATCAGATCAAGGTGGTGGTATTCCAAGAAGTTTAAGTGACCAATTGTTTCACTACATGTACTCCACAGCTCCACAGCCATCAAAATCAGATGCCCACACAGTGCCATTAGCAGGTAAAATTTAAATCTTGAAAAAAAATTTTCATTCATACATTTATATTTGTTTAAATTTGTAATGTAAAAATAATTTTGATTAAATAATACTTGGTAATATTAGTAAAGTATAAAAAAATTCTAATTTTTTATTTTAGGGTATGGATATGGACTACCTATATCAAGACTTTATGCACGGTATTTACATGGTGATTTAGTGTTAGTATCATGTGATGGATATGGAACAGATGCTGTCATATATATGAAGGTATTTATTTTTTAAAGTTTTAAATGTTGGTTAATTGACATCAATTATTCAATCTTGCAATTATTTATTTAATTTTATATTTTGATAATAGCTTATTGTAAAAATTTTAGTTACAAAATTTAAAAAAATCCCGTTTTAGTCATTTAAATCCATAAAGTTTAGGTCTTAGTATATATTTAAAATATAAGTTTTATAATTTGTCTTTTATAATTTATAATTTTTTATTTTTTCTGCTTTAATTAATATTTTCACTCAGAACTTTAGTTTTTACAGAGTTAATCTTATCTTTATTAAAGTTCTTTCTTCTTTCATTTCTTTTTATTGCTTTTAAGGGCTATTTAGGTCCATTGCCACAACAACCACTTGCTTCCACCCATCTCTATCTTGAGCTAGATCTTTTCCATCGCTGTCTGGGCTGTCCTCTCGACTTTCTTGTGTCCAATCTTATAATTCAAAAGTAGCTAGTCTATTTTCAATAGTCTTNCTTGTGGCCAATCTTATAATTCAAAAGTAGCTAGTCTATTTTCAATAGTCTTTGTTGTTGCCCATTCGCCACAGGCCTAGTAGTTCTCTTAAGGTCTTCCTCACTCTCCGCCATTATTATAACATCGTCTGCGTACTCTGTCACTGCCAGTTGGTGGTCACGTCCCATTTTGATTTTTGTTGCTCCAGCTAAGGTTTTTCTCATAGCTGATTCTTGTACTATATTAAAATAGGCTGGTGACAAGACATCTCCCTGTCTTAAGCCTGTCCTTACCTCAAATTCTTTTGATTCCTCCCCTTTATTCTTTACTTTGCATTTCGACCCATGCATACATGCTTGAATTATTCTTATTATCTTTCTTAGTATCGCCAATTGATCCATTACATTTCATAGTCTTTCTCTATACACTGAATTGTATGCTGCCTTGAAGTCCACAAACAGTAAATAAACATGACTTCTTTCGATTATCTGTTTGACAACATGAATTTGATTCAGTGTTGATATACCAGTCATGAAACCTGTTTGGTAGTCTCTAATAATTTCCTTTATGTATAGCTTTAATCTATTGAGTAGAATATTTGTTAATACCTTGTACAAGGTATTGAGTAGGGAAATCCTTCTAAAATTTGTACAGATCATGGTGTCTCCTTTTTCGAAAACCAAGCATAATACAGAGGTGCTCCATGCTATTGGTATTTCTTCTTGACCCCAGATTTTATTAATTACCTTATGCAATTGATTTATCAATTACTTTACTTCATTCTTAAGATATTCCGTTACTATATCATCTGCTCCAGGTGCTTTTCCACTCTTTAGCATATATAGCTCAGTCTGCACTTCCTCAAATAATAGTCGTTCAATATTTTGTTCAGCCGTGTCACATTCTTCTGATACTGCATCTCTTCTAGGTTGATTTAAGAGTTTCTGAACACATGTTCTTAAATTCCTTTGCAATTTTTTCATTTTCTGTTAATAAAGTCCCATCCTCCATTCTTATCATTGTTATGTTTACGTTTAAAACTTCTTCTAACCTCGTTTGCCTTTTCAAAGAATATCCTTGTATTATTTTTTCTGTTTTTCTCTATATCTTTTTATTCAAGTTATGCTAAAAAATTATTATATAATAGTTATTTTATATCTATAATTAAATTTTAACCTTTCTAATTTTTTTGTTATTTAAGGCATTAACAAATGAAGCTAATGAATTGTTGCCAATATTTAATAAAACATCTACAAAATTTTATAGCACTTCTATACAAACTAGTAACTGGAGTGGAAGTAATTCCTCTCCCAACCATAAGCAATTTATGGCATGATTCATCTTAATTCTTAAAATGTTCTAAATTCCATGGTGAAAGTATTTTATTACTTTATTTTTGTTGTTTAACTAATGTTATAGAAAATTATTGTATTTAAATTGTAGAGATAAATCAATATTTCTAATGTGGTTCCTTGACTATTTTGGCAAAATTAATATATTGTTTTACTAATATTATAGTAGTTTCTTATATATCATGATTATTGAATTATTATTATATAGTTTATTTTAACAAATTGGAGTTATGGTTCTAAAAAATATTGATTCTGATGGCATAACATTTACAACTATTGAATCAGATTTATTTTTTGATAAATTATACTTTATATTAAAATTTAGGAAACTTATATATTTTTAGTAAATAATTTGTGTTAAGTTAATATTATAATAAATTTAGATATTATCTATTTCATTGTTATTAATCAATTAAAGAATCCATTTTTGTGTATGTATTTTTTAATTGTTAATAATTTTTAGTATGGATATATTTAGTTTATTTTATAGTTTCTCTAATACACTTCAGGCGACTTAAAATAGTTATCTATTTATTAAGGCTATTTTTTTCTTTTTTGATAAATTTGTCATATTTTTAAATGAAACAAGGTATTTTAAATTGATTTTATTTTAATATATAAAAGATATTTTGTAAAAAAAAATTATTTTTTATATAATTGAGACTTTATTATCCTACAATTTAAATTAATACAAAACATGTATAGTTATTTCAGACAGTATATTTTATTTATCTGGATATAAAAAGTATATAGTATACTAAGGAGTATTTTTTTAAGTAAATTAAAAAACTCTTCTTAAATACCTTTAATAAATGAAACTATATTTTAATCATTATTCACTTGTTTTTTTTTTTTAATTAATCAAATGTTATTTATTCAATTGTTGTAGTTAATAACACTTTACTTTATTGTTAAAGTAACTTAATATGAGAGCTCACAGGCTTAAAATTTATGAAGTTAATCTATTTTAAAATTGTTACCAATTTTGATTAGACTAGTCATGATACTTTTATTTAGCTACCTTTTAAATTATAAAAGTAAAAAAAAATTGTAATTTATATGTATAGAATAAGAACTGTTTGTAAATTTTAAAGGATTTTGTATTTAAGATAAAAATTTTTATTGGGCTAAAAGTGATATTGGATTATTTATTAATTAACAATACAATGAAGAATAAATTATACATTTAGACTTTGTTTTTATTTTTATTAAGTAAAATTTAACAATTCTATATAAGTTTGAAGATTACAGACATTTTTTTAAATAACTATTATTATGTACTTAACATAAATTTCTTGGACAAGTTAGTTTTATGAAATTAAAAAATGATAGCACAGTGGAGTCACAGTACAGTATGGACGTGGCATAGTTGGAACAAGTATAGATGACATCTGATAGTGATTTTAATCACTATCATAAGAAACACTTTGAAGAAAATATGTTCATAGTGATTAATTTTAAAAAAACTGGTCGATTACTCCAAAAGCAAAATTAACTCATATTATTTGTTCTACTTCGACTACCATTTGCACATAGAAAATAGGTCGGTACAAATTTTTTTTTTTGACTTCTAGTAGATAAAATAAGCATTATTTTAACATATATTTAAATGACGCAGAACATTTTCAAAAGTTAAGTTGAAAAAGTTCTACTTTTTATAAAAATGTTAAAGTTTTCAAATAGTTAAAAGAAAAACTTTTCTTAATTTTGAAGAAGTAAAATAATCAAAATAAGTATAAAATTTTATTTAATGTAAGATAGGTTCAAGTATATTTTATATTTATTGGTGCTCATTTTTATGGCAAACTCTTATAAGGTATTTTAAAATAAACAAACAAAATTAAAATTTGAACACAAAAATAGCATGTTTTTTAACTACACCAGGCGTTTGCACGTAGAAGATAAGTCGTCAGGATAATTTTTTTTTTAATTTATAGTGTGTAACATAAGTTTTAATTTGACATATGTTTAAAGGACGCAGTAATTCCTGAACATTTTCAAAAATTAAGTTGAAAAAGTTGAGTTTTGAATCTTCTCTTATTGGCATGTAAAGGGTCAGATTTTAAAAAAAAATTATATCAAATTAAAGGGAAATATCTAAGGTTTCCATATAAATAAAGAATTATTTTGATTTATTAATTTTTCAATAAATTATGGCAATTTTTTGAAAAAAAAAAAAGTGAAAAAAATTTCGAAATTTAGCGATTTTAAAAATTTTAAAAAGATTGGTCCATTGAGAGCTGAGACAAAGTAGTGACAGACACAAAAAAATAAACACATCATGTTAAAATTAATGCCTTCTCAGCTTCGCATCGAATCTAAAAGTGTTAGTTTAAATTCTTTATTTCATAATACCATAGCAATTTTGGATATAGCATTGTTAAATAAATTAATGAAACTGATGATTATAAATAAGTTAGTAGCCAAAGGTTCAAAAAACACGGATGTAGAATTTTAGTTAGCAAATATGTACCTTGCTGTGGATAGTCTACATTATAAAAAAATTAAGTAGTTATTTCATATAATATTTAAAAGGAAGTATTATACATAACATCTATAGGATAGAAAAACTTAAGACAGAGTGGTGGATGATGATTTTAATAGGAATGGAAAATAATATAAGATATAGCTGTCAACTGTCACAGATATAAGGAAATTTTTGTAATTTTATTTGTTGAAAAGGAAAGAAAAAATTAGGTCTTTTGTTTTTAAAACACTTCACAAGTGGAAAACATTACAAATTTTATCAAGAAGACTATAATAAATAAATTAAGACCTATAATTAAATTTAGAATTCAGGTCATCGACGTTTAGGACAGATGTAAGTTACACTTGTAAGAAGTTTTAAAAATAAAGAAGCCAACGGAATGGGTTTAATTAAAATGTATGGAGTACGCATAAGTAAGGCGTGGCAGGGCCAAGAGATCTAAATACCAAAAATTCAAAAACAATTTTTATTTCATCAAATTAATAACTAATAATCGGATAATAATACTTTTCTTTCTCGATATAATACCACAAAACAACCGAAAAATTTAATTACATTGAGTTATTACAATTATCTTCTTCTTCTTTCTTGCCTTAATTCTAACTACTTGGGGTCGGCCACCCTTATCCTAAACTTCCACTTGACCCGATTAGCTTTCATGATGAACAGCTTTTCATGTTATGATTATTGCTTATCACTTATCATATCTTTTGAATTATCACTCGCATATAACTTATAGAGATACCATATACCTAATACCGTGAAAAATTTTTTACTTATATTTGAAATAAAAACGTTTTCTATTTTGTTGATTAAAATTGTTAAATAATATAGATTGAAGTATAATTGTAAATTAAATTTTATTTGTTATTTAAAAACAAAAAATTATTTTAAGCATAAATGCAGGGATTTTGTTAAATTAAACATATGTGTTATTTCGTAGTAGAAAATGGCCGCCATAATTTTGTTTATATGTGAAATGTATCTACTGAATCTACTGCTAGAGTTGGCAGACTGAAGAGAACTTCAGTTATCAGTTTTCTTGAAACTATGTGCGGAGAAACGTTGATGTTCAACTAGTGACTGCATGCTCAATAGTTAAAATTATGAATGTTAGATAAAAAAAAAAAATAGAAAACACTTGGAAATACAGTATCAGTCAAAATGGCTAGTGACTCGAAAGCGCCTTTAAAAAATGTCAAAAGGGTACAATTTGGGATATTATCCCCAGATGAATGTGTGAGTAATATCTTTAAAGTATAATTAAAGTATTAATTAATATTCTTCTAATTTAAGAATATTTTTTGTTAAAATTTAGAGATTATTATTTTTAATAAGTTTTAAATTAATAATTCTACTATGAGCTCTAATATATATATAGCTCAGTTATATATATATTATTGTTACTTATATGTTCAACTTGAACATAAACTTAAAAAATATATATATATTTTTTATACTAATGTATTATAGAGACGTATGTCAGTCACAGAAGGTGGTATCCGTTTTGCAGAAACAATGGAAGGAGGTAGACCAAAACTTGGGGGTCTGATGGATCCTCGACAAGGAGTAATTGATAGATTTTCAAGATGTCAAACATGTGCAGGTAATGACAATTTTGGTAATTGGAATGTGTATGTATATATATATATACAACCATTCATGTATATATTAATGGATTGTTATTAAACTACTGAATAATAATTTTAGGTAACATGACTGAATGTTGTGGCCATTTTGGTCATATTGAACTTGCTAAACCTGTATTTCATATTGGATTTATTCCTAAAGTCATAAAAATATTACGATGTGTATGTTTTTATTGTTCTAAACTTCTTGTGAGCCCAGTAAGTGACAATTTTTTAATAATTAATTGTAGGAGTAGAAATCAATAAATAAACTTTATTTTAATGTCTCGTATGATGCTTTATATTACTAAATAATTAAAATAAAATTATATCAAATAATTACTTTTTTTATTTTTGGTTAATAAGTCTTTTGTTAGACGAGATTTGCTGTTAAAAATAAATAAAAATGTTAAAGTTTTTTTTTTCATAATTTATCAATAGATTTGATATTAATTGGCAAACTTGTTAACATTCTAAGAAAATTCTATTATAATAGAATTTATAGTTCATTTAATTAAATTTAATAATGTATACTAAATATATTATTAATTTTGTAAAATAATAATTATAGAATGTTGTATTTTACTGTAGACTCATCCTAAAGTAAAAGAAATTGTTATGAAATCTAAAGGACAACCAAGAAAAAGATTAGTTTTCATATATGATTTATGTAAAGGAAAAAATATTTGTGAAGGAGGTGATGAGTTAGATATAAACAAAGATAATGTTACCGATCCTAATATGCCAGTAAGTAAAATTTTAATCATAAAATTATTTATATTAGTATTAATTGCATTATCAAATAATGTAAAATCATTAGACTGTTATTGTTTATTAAATTTAGTATAGTTGGTTAATAAATCAAATAATATTTGATAAAATTTATTCAATTAAATCCTATTGATATTTTAAATAAAATTTGAATATTTTTCAATATATCTAAATAGGTTATTATGTAGTTATTGAAAAAAAAACTAAATCTTGAAGTGATAACTTTTTAATTTTATGGTGAAAAAAAAATGTAAGGTTATTTATGTACTTTTTAGCCAAAAAAACAAGGTCATGGTGGTTGTGGTCGTTACCAACCTAATATTCGGCGTGCTGGTTTAGATTTAACAGCTGAATGGAAACATGTCAATGAAGATTCTCAAGAGAAAAAAATACCTCTTACTGCTGAACGTGTTCATGAAATTTTAAAGCATATAACTGATGAAGAAGTTGTTATAATGGGTATGGATCCAAGATTTGCACGTCCTGATTGGATGGTACTAACTGTTCTTCCAGTTCCACCTTTACCTGTTCGACCTGCAATAGTTATGTTTGGATCAGCTAGAAACCAAGTAAATTTTATACTAGTCATAGTAATTAAAAATTTGAGGAAAATGCAATTTTTTTTATCAAGGATGATTTAACTCACAAATTAGCTGATATAATAAAGTGTAACAATGAATTAATCCGTAATGAGCAGTCAGGTGCTGCTACCCATATTATATCTGAAAACATAAAAATGTTGCAATTTCATGTAGCTACATTAGTGGATAATGATATGCCTGGATTACCTAGGTAAAGTCTAGTGTTTTTGATCTCAATAGTTTATTATGGTAGTTATTTTATATTCATATTTACAGAGCTATGCAAAAATCTGGAAAGCCTCTAAAAGCAATTAAAGCTCGTTTAAAAGGTAAAGAAGGAAGAATTCGTGGTAATTTGATGGGGAAACGAGTAGATTTTTCTGCTCGAACTGTTATTACACCTGATCCAAATTTACGGATTGATGAAGTTGGTGTTCCTCGTACTATTGCTCAAAACATGACATTTCCAGAAATTGTTACTCCATTTAATATAGATCAGTAAGTAAAATAATTATTATTTAAAATATTACTAAACAGTATCATTAAAGGTAATTGATTTATTAATAGTTTTCTATATATAATTTATAAATTAACATTACACAGATGATATAATAAGAATTCTTTACTTGTGGCTAAAATTATTTAAAATTAAAAATACAGGTGATTGTTTAACTATGACTCAAATAATATTTATAACGATTGAAATTATACTATTTTTTCTTAACAAAAATTAATAGTCTCCTACATTCTATAATACATGCCAGTTAACACATTTGACGTGATTACTTTTGAAAAGAAAAATTTATATTATGTTTTATATGTTTAAATATATTGTATGAGTTAATATAATCAATTACTTTATTCATTAATATTTTTTAATTATTTATTTTTAGTGTATTAAATTATTTTTAATTAGACAATATAAACAAATAGTTTACTTAGTTTGTTTAATTAACTCGTAAAAATGTATAGGATGCTTGAATTAGTGCGACGTGGTAATTCTCAATATCCTGGTGCTAAGTATATCATTCGGGATAACGGAGAGAGAATTGATTTGCGTTTTCATCCTAAACCTTCAGATTTACATTTGCAATGTGGTTACAAAGTTGAAAGACATATAAAGGATGGTGATTTAGTAGTTTTTAACCGTCAACCTACTTTACACAAAATGAGTATGATGGGACATCGTGTAAGAGTTCTTCCTTGGTCTACATTTCGTATGAATTTGAGGTAAATTTTAAATGATAAAATTATATTATATATATTTCATCTAATAAATATTTTTTTAGTTGTACATCACCTTACAATGCTGATTTTGACGGAGATGAAATGAATCTTCATGTCCCACAATCAATGGAAACAAGAGCTGAAGTAGAAAATATTCATATTACTCCAAGACAAATTATTACACCTCAAGCAAATAAACCTGTTATGGGAATCGTACAAGATACCCTAACAGCTATAAGAAAAATGACCAAAAGAGATGTTTTTCTAGAAAAAGTAATTAATTTTTTTTATGTATATAAAAGAATGAGAATTTATCCAATGCTCATTGATAACATATATTGTTTACTGTTATTTTCAAACATTAGTAAAGCAAATATGATTGAAGTTTGTTTTTATTTTCAAACTGTCATCACTTTTGAATGTTTTTTTACTTTTTATGAAGAATTTGATTGTAAAAAAATACAATTTTAAACTTAAAGAAAAAGCTTTTAAAATATATGTTTATTTTAATAGACTATACCTCATTTTTTAGGAACAAATGATGAACTTATTGATGCACTTACCAATTTGGGATGGGAAAATGCCAACTCCATGTATTTTAAAACCTAAACCATTATGGACTGGAAAACAGTTGTTTTCTTTAATTATTCCAGGTAATGTTAATATGATACGTACTCATTCCACACATCCTGATGATGAAGACAATGGTCCATACAAATGGATATCTCCTGGAGACACTAAAGTAAACTTAATATATTTTTTATTCATTGAAAACATACTTAATAAACAATTTTATATTTTAGGTTATGGTAGAACATGGTGAACTAGTTATGGGAATATTGTGTAAAAAGACACTTGGTACTTCAGCCGGTTCATTACTTCATATTTGTATGTTGGAATTAGGACATGAAGTGTGTGGTCGATTTTATGGTAACATTCAAACTGTAGTAAATAATTGGCTATTATATGAAGGTAATATTTTTAAAAATAAATAATTTTTATAATTAATTTAATTTATTAAGGTTTTATTTTTACAAATATTACATCTTAACAATTATAAATACTGAATATTAAATAGATTTCTTTAAATAATAATATGTTTGTTTTATAGAAAGGATATAATAGACTAGGAGTAACTATGATAGATTAAGACTGTAAAATGATATTGTGATAGAGATTATGCATATTATAAAGAGCTAATATGAGAGTTTATTAATACAGTTCTATTTTTAGAGAGTAAAGGTCAGTTTAAGATATAATAGGAAAGTTACTTAAATGTTTCTCATCTTATAAAGTATAAAAAGGAGACAAATTAAGAGCTATAATGAAAAATAGTCATGAGCTGATTACAAATTGTGATCAAATCTAAGATGATAAAATTTAATTTTAAAATATCTAGTAAAATTTAAGTTGTAGAACATGATAAAATTTGTTTGTATCATTGGGCAAAGTTTGAAGGCGACCCTTTACATTGCCACTTAGAAAAATTTATGGAAAAAGGAGAGGAAGTCTGTAAAAGGAATAGAATTAACTGATAGAAGTAACAAATTAAAAAGAAAGTCTGCTATTTCATTGCTCAAAATACCTACATGACTAGAAGTTTAATAAAAAAGAACTGATTTTTGGAGTGATCTGATTATAGAGATAAAAGATTTTACAAAAAATAGGAGAGGAAATATTTTAAAAGTTGAAAATATAATGATTTGGTAATTTTTTTCAATTTAGGGCATTCCATTGGTATTGGTGATACAATTGCTGATCCTCAAACTTATTTAGAAATTCAAAAAGCTATTAAAAAAGCTAAAGAAGATGTCATAGAAGTTATTCAAAAAGCTCACAATATGGATCTTGAGCCAACACCTGGTAATACTCTGAGACAGACTTTTGAAAATCAAGTAAACCGAATTTTAAATGATGCTCGTGACAAAACTGGAGGTTCAGCTAAAAAATCATTAACAGAGTATAATAACCTTAAAGCTATGGTGGTATCAGGATCTAAAGGATCTAATATTAATATTTCTCAGGTACAAATTAATTCATTATAACAATTATATAATAATTATTAATTTTAATTTTGATTGTAATTTTTAATAGGTTATTGCTTGTGTGGGTCAACAAAATGTAGAAGGTAAACGTATTCCGTTTGGTTTCCGAAAACGTACTTTGCCCCATTTCATTAAAGATGATTATGGACCAGAGTCTAGAGGTTTTGTTGAAAATTCGTACCTTGCTGGACTAACACCTTCAGAATTCTTTTTCCATGCTATGGGAGGTCGTGAAGGTCTTATTGATACTGCTGTAAAAACTGCCGAAACTGGTAAAATATATTTAATATTTGTCTAATTAGTGAAAGGTATTTCAATTATATTTCTATTTATTATAAAGGTTATATTCAACGACGATTGATAAAAGCTATGGAATCTGTAATGGTACATTATGATGGAACCGTTCGTAATTCTGTAGGCCAGCTAATTCAATTGCGTTATGGTGAAGATGGGTTATGTGGTGAAGCAGTAGAATTTCAAAGTATTGCTACTATAGAACCATCTCATAAGAAGTTTGAAGAAGAATTTAAGTTTGATGCTTCAAATGAAAGACATATGAGAAAAATATTTACCGAAGATGTACTCAAAGATTTAATGGGGAGTAATGATACAGTAGCGGAATTAGAAAAAGAGTGGGAACAATTAAATAATGACAGAGATACACTTAGAGAGATATTTCCATCGGGTGAAAGTAAAGTGGTATTACCTTGCAATCTTAAACGTATGATATGGAATGTACAAAAAATCTTCCATATAAACAAGAGAGCTCCTACAGATTTAAATCCCATCAAAGTGTTACATGGTAATTGTGTTTAATGTATACGTATAATGATTTGGTTTAATTAAATGTATTTTTATATTTTAGGAGTGAAAGAGCTATTGGATAAATGTATAATTGTAGCTGGCCAAGATCAATTAAGTAGACAGGCTAATCAGAATGCTACTCTGTTGTTTCAATGTTTAGTACGCTCTACCTTGTGTACCAAATTGGTTTCAGAAAAATTCCGTTTATCTTCTGAAGCATTTGAATGGTTAGTTGGTGAAATTGAAAACAGATTCAAACAAGCTCAGGTAGGTTATTTAGAAAATATATTTTTATTTTCAATTTATTTAAATAATTTATGTAATAGGCTGCACCTGGAGAAATGGTGGGTGCTTTGGCTGCTCAAAGTTTAGGAGAACCTGCCACTCAAATGACATTGAACACTTTCCATTTTGCTGGTGTTTCTTCGAAAAACGTAACCCTTGGAGTGCCTAGATTAAAGGTATTTTACTATCATTCATTATAAAGACAATATTATTAAATTAAAATTTATAAACAAATTTCTTTATAACTTCAATATTTATGTAAAACTATATTTTTTTTAGTATTAATAGTGTATAAACTTTAAGTATGTATATAATTTTTTTTCTTATCTATTCTCTTTCATTATAATTAAAGGGCTCTGTGTAAAAACAAAATAATTTTTTTAAGACAGATTTTGTAGTTATAAATTAAGACTAAAATAATCTATACATCAAAAAAATAATAATAATAATTTGAAAAATAAAATATTGATTAAGTTTTCTTGTAGGATACATATTATAAATGTTTAGTTTTTTGAAATTTTATGAAAAATAGATTGTCTTGTTATATAGTTTTTGTAAAATTATAATCTACCTTAACTTAATTATACAGTTATTTAATTTAATTTTACCAGTAATATTTTGTATTTGCATACAGTTTTTCTGCTTTTTAAAATTTTAATTAAAAAGTTTATATATTTCCTGAATGTTTCTAAACCTACATGAAAATTGAAAAAAATTGAATAGTTTAATTACATTTGATTTAGTTTTAGTTGTTCAAGTTGGTTTGTAAATCAATTTTTATAGACATTTTATTTTAAAATTGATTGACCTGTGTAACATTTTGATCTTTCATTAACCCATTTATATTAATTCAAAATAAATGTGCATTTATATATTTTTTCATTTAAAATAACTGATTTTTATTATATAATGACTTATTTATTGTAGAAATAAATAATTTATTATAATATAAATAAAAATTCATTATTTAAGATCAATTATTTTTTCTTATTGTTTTAATTGTATATTATATTTTAATTAACAGGAAATTATTAACATTAGTAAAAAACCAAAGGCTCCTTCTTTGACTGTGTTCTTAACGGGTGCAGCAGCTAGGGATGCAGAAAAAGCAAAAAATGTTTTGTGTCGTTTGGAGCATACAACTTTAAGAAAAGTAACAGCAAATACTGCTATTTATTATGACCCTGATCCACAAAATACTGTGATTAGAGAAGACCAAGAATTTGTTAATGTCTATTATGAAATGCCTGATTTTGACCCTACTAGAATTTCACCTTGGTTATTGCGTATTGAATTAGATCGAAAAAGGATGACAGGTTAGTTTTAGGTTTGAAGCAAATGTATGTTTAAAAAAAATTGTGTGTACGTTATTCCAGTTTTTTTATTTGATATATTTTATTTTTTCCTATTAATAATTTAAAATTTAACTATTTGTTTAAACTATTATAATTCCTTTTTTTATGTAGTATATCTTTAAAATACTACTTAAAGCTAGTAATATTAGTATATTTCTTATTTTTTTTGTAATGTAGTATAAACAAAAATGTCAATATGTCCTGGATATTATCTAAAAGGGGATAAAATAAACAAAACTTATTAAATTGTAAAAAATAAAAATGATAAAATTTAAGATAATGAATAAATTAAAAAAATTATTGAAAAATATTAAAGATTAAATGTTATATTTTAAAAGTAAAAAGTCTTACTAAAAAAAATTATATAAACTCAATTATAAGTTTTGAAAATTTTAAATTGTTTTATTATTTCCTATTTTATTTGATTATTTATATAATTATACAAATTAAATTTTATCCAATTTTGTCCATCCATTTTATCTTCTTGGATAAAACCTAATCAACCCTAAGTATAAATAACATTAAAAAATAATTGTTTTAATTATTTTAATTTTGCAGATAAAAAATTAACTATGGAAGCAATATCTGAAAAAATAAATGCTGGCTTTGGAGATGATCTCAATTGTATATTTAATGATGATAATGCGGACAAATTAATTTTACGTATACGTATAATGAATGGTGAAGATGGTAAAATGAATGGAGGTGATGATGAAGATACTGTTGACAAAATGGAAGACGATATGTTCCTTAGATGTATTGAAGCTAATATGTTATCTGATATGACTCTACAAGTAAGGAAAACGTTATTCACTTCCTTTTAATTGCATGAACAATTCATTTAAAATTTGCTTATTGTTTTAGGGTATAGAAGCTATAGCAAAAGTTTATATGCATCTACCTCAAACTGATGCTAAAAAAAGAATAATCATTACTGATACTGGAGAATTTAAAGCAATTGCTGATTGGTTACTTGAAACTGATGGTACTAGTTTAATGAAAGTATTAAGTGAACGAGATGTTGATCCTGTCAGAACATTTTCTAATGATATTTGTGAAATATTTTCGGTAAAAAATTGTTATTTAAGAATTAAACAATACGTAAACTTATGTTTTTTTTTTATTTCAGGTGTTGGGTATAGAAGCTGTGAGAAAATCAGTTGAAAAAGAAATGAACACTGTTTTGCAGTTTTACGGACTGTATGTAAATTATCGGCATTTAGCTTTGTTATGTGATGTCATGACAGCTAAAGGTCATTTGATGGCCATTACTCGTCATGGAATTAACAGACAAGACACTGGTGCATTAATGAGGTAGATTTTATAACTTTATTATTAAAATTTTACTTTTTTTAAACATTTTTAATCCCAACTTTATAAAATTAATATTATTTCTTAAATTATAATAAACGAATACAATAAAAAGAGAATAATTTAAATAGAAATCTCATATTGTCATAATATTTCTAGATGTTCATTTGAAGAAACTGTAGATGTTTTATTGGACGCTGCCTCACACGCTGAGGTGGATCCAATGAGAGGTGTTTCAGAAAATATTATAATGGGCCAACTTCCTAGAATGGGAACAGGTATTAATTTTAAATATTTTTAATTTAATATTTTATGATAAATAATAAAAAAAAATTTTTAAGGTTGTTTTGATTTATTATTGGATGCTGAAAAAGCTAAAGATGGTATAGAAATACCTATGGATGCCGGATATATGGGTATGGGTGGTGGTGGTATGTTTATGGCTGCTGGTACACCTTCCATGTCACCAGCAATGACACCATGGGATCACAATACAGCAACTCCAGTTTACCAAAATAGCTGGTCATCAAGTATGTCCTTAAAAACTTCTATTAATAAAAGTCAATTAAAATATGCTGATATAAATAATTACTATACTAAATATTTAGTTGTAGTAAATATTTTATGTTGATATGAATGAGGAAACTTTTAATTATTTAAATTTGCTAAGGTCCATAAGGAATAATGGAGATAAGGATTATTAGACAGATGTTTGAAACATTTGCATTTAATTTTTTCTTTGTGATTAATTTTTACAAATTTATCTATTACTTAATTACTAATACGTACCATTAGGTACTAGTAATAATTTTTAGTTAAAACATTTTAAAAGCAATAATTAAAAAAATATTCATAATTTATTTATACAAAATACAATTTAAAAGAAATTTATTCACAAAAAAAAAAAAATAATAGTATGAATTTTGGCATAATTACATGATTGTACTAATTTTAACAGGCATGACTCCTGGAGGTCCAGGATTCTCTCCAGCTGGATCAAGTGAAGCTAGTGGTACTTCTCCATTCTGGATGACTAGTGGTGGAACACCTGGTAGTCCAGGTTCACCAGGCATGGCTACTAGCCCTTACATTCCAAGCCCAAGTTCAATGTCACCAAATTATACATATCCTTCAAGTCCTCAGTTTGGTTCTATGTCCCCATCAATGTCACCATCTATGCAAAATACTCCAAAATACTCTTCAATGTCTCCTAATTATCATTATTCTCCAACAAGTCCTTCATATTCTCCTACAAGTCCATCTTATTCTCATACATCTTATTCTCCGACTAGCCCTTCGTAAGTTCAAATAACATTTTAAATTAGTATTTATTGTTGGTATTTATCATAATATTTTTCTAAATATCTTCGCATTTTAGTTACAGTCCAACATCTCCTTCGTACAGCCCTACATCGCCTTCTTACAGCCCAACATCGCCTTCATATAGTCCTACATCCCCATCTTATAGTCCTACATCGCCTTCGTAAGTATCTTTCAATATTAAAAAAAAAAAAAAAGAGTCAAATATCTATCTTATTTATTAAATAAGAGTTTTTATTTAATTATGTTTAAAAATTAATTAAGTACAATTTTTTAAATAACAAAATTTTTTTTTTCATATTTAGTTATAGCCCAACAAGCCCATCTTATAGCCCTACATCGCCTTCTTACAGCCCAACAAGTCCTTCATACAGTCCAACATCTCCATCGTAAGTTAATTTATTAATTAAGTTGACTGTTTATTATATTAAATATTTTAATAAGAAACTCAAGTGGAAATTAAAATGAAATATAGTGAATCATCACAAATTAAAATATAATTTTATATTATTTATTCTGTAATATGTTTGTTTTTATTGATTGTTCTTTAACTTAATTTTTGAAATGTATTTACAGTTACAGTCCAACTTCGCCATCATATAGCCCTACATCACCTTCATACAGTCCTAGCTCTCCGCAATATACAGCTTCTTCACCATCATACACACCAAGTGCTACATCAGGTCCTAGCAATTATAAATATTCTCCAACATCTCCATCTTTGGCTGTTAGTCCTACATATTCTCCGACTAGTCCAACATATTCTCCTACAAGTCCAATGTATTCTCCTTCAAGTGCATCATACAGTCCATCTTCTCTACAGCATGCACCTTCAGCAGGAAATCAATACAATCAGTCTTATAGTCCTAGTTCTCCTGTATACTCTCCAACAAATTTTTCAGTTACAAGTCCAAGGTAAAATTATTATTATTTTAGTTTAATTTATTATTTTAATATAAAAAATTGTTTAGGTACTCTCCAACATACTCGCCGACTTCACCTACATATTCGCCAACTTCACCAAGTTATTCACCTACGTCTCCAAATTATAGTGGCCCTGAATAAATGTCAAATGTTATTGAATAAACAATTATTATTTTATAATTTTTTTTTTTTGTTAAAACTTAGTTTATAATTTTATTTTATATCTTAACTTTAAAGAAAAGGTATATTTCAATAATTTTTTAATAAAAGATAAATAATTGATATTTCAATGTGGCTTAAAATTAAGAAACACCCCAATTGTAAATAATATTTAGGCTATTAATCAAATGGTCTAATTTTTTTTTTAAATTATTATAAGGCACAGCAGAGTATATATTAATTTTATTAAAAAATTAAGTGCTACATATAGCTATGTAATAAGAATTGATTCTTGTTCTGAAGTATATACTATTAATTAATCAAATAATTGATGAGATATTTTGTTAATAATAGTAGATGGTAATACTTCCTTAACTTATTAATTAATAACTTAATTACTTTGTCTGTCCTCTTAATGGATTTGTATAAATATTTAGATGTAGGTATACTTACAACAAGTTGCCTGCAATCTTTAGTAATGCCTACTTTTGAAGGCTTATCATGTTGTATTTAAATAGTTTTTAATTAAAAAATTGTTTAAAGTGTACAATTTTTAAATTAACTGAATTATTTTTTTAAATAAATTTTGTTTTTTTATTATTATATTTTTTGTTGTTTTGTTATAATAATTTATGACAACAATTAGGTTTTTTTGCTCAAAAATAATTACAAAATCATAAAAAAAAAACCGGGAGCGTTTTTTGTATAATTGAAAGGTATTTAGAAACCCCTAGTATACTCAAATGTTGGCCTATAGTCAATAGACTCCCCAATTATTACACTATGATTTGGCATTTAACATAGTCATTTACAACCACCATTCATTTTAAGAGGATATTAGGGGTTGAATCACGTCATGATACTAACTACGTGATAAAGATACAAATTAGAAGGAATAGCAAATGATTTTTATGTACAATCTTCCTTAAGAAAAATGTTGGTTACGTCTTAGTAGTTTGTGTTTAAACCAGCTTCATATAATAACTACAGTGTGGCATATTCATTACTAGAATATTTGTACTCTATCCATTTGAAAAAGTTGACATTCTATTATCAACACTTTAAACATCTTACATAGTAATAATCTTTAGACCTTTTTTCTCTTACTTCTGTAAATTTATAGACTTCATTTCCGCCTTCCTTTGTTCTTAGCATATAATACAACACATACCTCTTGAACTCCATCTTACTTACTGAACACTTGGCTTCTTTGCACGTTTATACTCCATCCAATCTTCTCTTCTGTCATATTTTGGATTGCCTTTTCTTATTTTCTATAATTTTTTGAACGTCCTTTCACCAGGTTTTCTTGTTTTATGGCATTCTACTCACTCTCACCAACAATCATCTTTGCAGTATTCTTTACATAACTAGTAAATCTATTCCACACACCATTTATTTCTCCCCGGATATTCCACATCGCACTCATTTACCGTCTTTAAAAACTCTATTTCATTTTCTTCTTTCAATTTCCACCACTGGATTCTAAATTTTTCTCCTGTGTTCTTTCTGTTTTTGTATATTCTTTTCCCGCTACACCACAACTTCATTACTACCAGTCTATGTTGTGTAGTTATACTCTCACCTGGTATAACTTTACAATCTTTTACTCGCTTTACGCTCTCTCTCTTCCACATAAAGTAATCAATCTGTGATCTATTAATGCCACTCTTATAAGTTATGTAAAACACCACTCGTAGTCGATGATTTCAATTAATTAAACACAAATATTACGCCCGAAATTCATTAACAAGTATACGTGTATTTACACCAAAATCACCGTCCAACGACCTCACACAGGGAGCGTCGTTGAACTACAACTGATATAATATGATTTTATAATAACTGATATGAACTGATCTGACTAAATAAACTAATTATCACACATGTTTAACAGTTATATAATGATCTTCCCTCTTTCTAAAATAAGTATTGACCACAGCAAGATCATACTGCGAAATCCAGGATTCTTTCGCCAGTCTCATTCTTCCCAACTAAAACCATGCCATCCATGTACTCTATAATATCTTATCCTTTCATTACCTACATGTCCATTTATATTTTTACCTATCACCGCATCCTCATTGCCAGATACTCCTTACATCACGTCATCCATCACTCTCCAAAACACTTCCTTGTCTATTCATCACATCCTACTTGTGGTTCATAGGTACTTATTATATTCAACACTTTTTCTTCGAAAATTAATTTTACGACTATAATTCTGTTACTTTTTCTAGCTACTTCTATTACTTTACTTTTCATCTCCTCGTCCATTATTATCCCTACACCATTCTTTGTATTAGTTTTACCTAAGTATATCATTTTAAAACCTTTACCTATTTCCCTTGGTTTCTCTCTCTTCTACTTAGTTTCCTGCAAACAACAAATGTGAACTTTTCTCCTTTTCAATACTTTTACTAATTATCTACTTTTACCAGTTAATGTTCCAACATTCCAAGTACCTATTTTTACTTTTTATCTATCTTTCTCTCTTAGTCTAGCCAAGAGTTAATTGGTGATGACCCTACACCGTTAATACTACAAGCGTTGGGTAGACCTGTACACATGACTGGTAAAACAGCTATCACACAAGTTGCCTTGCTACTATCAAACACTTTATTCCTTAGGCCTACTCCGTTTTTAATTACTTTATTTTCTCTTACCTGTTGTCCCCGCGTACATCCGAGACGAATTCGCCTAAGTTTTGTTTAGGACTCCTCATACTTTTTGACAAAAATTTTACACCAGCTGTCGACCTGACACAACCTCATTAGTCGCCTTTCATGACTGGCAGAGGGGCCGTGGAATTATTTTTATCCCCTATCCACAGAGACATAAATAATAATAATACTTATATAATATAATAATACTTTGTATAATATTTTAATATTATATAATATAACGTAGCGTCGGGGTCGTAGTAATTGTTGAATTTTATATTTATCAGTTTATTACCGTTTTCAATTATTGCCATTAACTGCGCTGCAAAAAAGTCGTGATAAAAACAATTACGAATATCAATATCAATATTTTGCGTGCGGTACGAATATCAATGGTTCAGTATGATATATTTATTGTTTACTCAATTAATTGATAGTAAAACATTTGTTTATTGACCCATAAAACCATGATAATACAATGTTTTTGAAATTTGAATTTATGTATAAAAAATTGCTGCATTATTTTTTCAGGCCAATTGGGACTGTTTTTAAGTAGGTTGCAACCACACACACTGGCCCTCCCTCAAATGATGTCCCTGCTTAAATAGTCAACTGGTGACTTACCATGTATTACAATTTGACAGGATATCATATCTATTACTGGTAAAACAAGGTCTGAACACAACAGTAGATTAAAAATAGTTTTAAGTAAACTTCATGATGTAGGTTTAAAAGTAAAAGTAGAAAAGTTCTTGGAGAACAATGTGTACACAGGTGTACGGACGGGCTCTCAAAAGTGCTGATAAAGACCAACCTCCCTGGTGACGTCACACCTGACCTGGCCCGAGCACCGGTTGAAGACTGCATTTAAGTGTATATAGGTACAGCTCATGACGTTATTCCCTAAAACGTCATGCTTGAATTCTGACATAAGGTAGCCCTAGGTGATAACACACTTGAACCCGAGCATAAGGTAAACCCTATGACGTCATATCTGAACTCTGAACTACGTTTAGCTTCTAACATAAGCTCTATAACGTTACATCTTAACTCTGTGCTAACATACGCCCTGTAATGGACCCTAGGTGCCTTATCACGTCGTGATTGTGCCGTCGGCAATGACGCTGTCGTGTACGACTCTATGTAGTACTAAAAAGTTGGGTGGTACTTCACCGACCGGCGCCGTAACTCTACCGTCGGGCTTTACAGCCGACAAGTTAATGTCGGGTCGGTTATAAAAAAAAAAAAAAAGTTCATTTTCCAGTGTACCTACACGCTAACGGTTCAATGTGCGTATAGTACGCGTAAAGTCACCGTACGTTTGTACACTAAACACAATGAACAGTGGCTTGATGTCTTTAACTATCATTTGGTATATTTTTTTTATAAATCTGACTCTTTACCTGCCCACAGGAGGGATTTAAAATGACAACTTTTCACAAAAAATTAACATTTTCAACTTTTGAAAGTGTTCTGGAAAGTCTGACACTTTTATATATATCTTAAATTAAAGCTAATGTAATGTACTTTATTATGGAAAAAATAAATTTCGGACTTTATTTTGTATTCACAGTGAAAATGGCTACCGAATGCTATTTTTGTGTAAAAATTCTCGATTTTATTTTTTGCATTTTTAACTTTATAATGCTATAACTTATTGAAAAGTGTATGGATCAACATAATTTTTTTATGAGAAATAATATTATATCCCTTTTTCATTCGACATACTTTATCTTAATCAAGATATTAATAAGGAAATAGCAGATCATGTATCTATTGGAATAATCCACCAATTTTTTAAAATTAAACACTATCTAAAGATTTGCATCGAAGCGTTTTTTATGATAATGATTTTAATCACTGTCAGATATCATTATACTTGATCCAACTTTGCCACGTCACCACTGAGCCGCGACCCTCCTGTGCTGGATTTTTTTATGTTTAGGATATGATATTTGTGGATTTTACCGTTCGACATCTAATGACCAAAAGTCTAAAATTAAACTTCCTAAACACAAAAAGTTTGCCGATTGAAGACAACACTCGTTTAAAGACTTTTGAAAACTGTCTAAAAAAATTGGAATAAAAAATATCAACATTTTGTGATGCTGAATTTCTATACATAGGTATGGGACTCTATAGTATTGAATGTATTTTTAGGATTCGTACATTTAATCAAATACTTTATTTATAAATTTATATAATTTTTAGGTAATGGACAAAATGATTAAATGTTATGTTACTGCTGCAGTCAAGGTTTGAAGGATTGGAATGATGAAGACGATCCATGGGTAGAACATGTACGTTGGTCTCCTAGCTGTACACATATATTGTTATGTAAGAAACAGTTATTTATCCAAAATAATAAAATAAAACTACTATTATTTGTTGTTTCGATTTTCATATAAATAATATAATTAATGTTAATGTTATATATTATTGTTATTTTAAAAATAAATAAAAATGTTTAATATTGTATCTTGTGTGTTATATGAAACTATATAAAATGTACGGTGGGTAATAAGTAAAAATGCCAATTTTCGATTTATTAAAAAATTAAAGAGATAAATGAAGCGTTAAGTGAATCTACATCAATACCGTCAATTAAAAGTAAAGCTATTTCTCTTGCTGAACATGAAATGTCTTACGAATTTGTGCTAAGTTCAATAATATGGTATAATTTATTAAATAATATTAATAAAATTAGCAAATCTCTGTAAAATGAAAGCGTTTCAATTGATTTTGCTGTAAATAATTTGAAAGGTCTCAATCAGTTTTTAAATAAATATCGACAAAATTGATTTAATGAAGCAAAAGAAGAAGCTATACTTATTTGTAAACGAGTCAACAGAACACGAGAGTTTAAGTCAAAAAGAATAAGTTTTAAGTAACGAATGTTTAATTATGAAAGCTTTCCTGTATTATGTTCAAAAAATGAAG